TATATATATATATATCATTCTTTTCTATTGCTGCATAGTAACCCAATACATTGATAGTGGACATTTGAACCATCTCTTACTTGATTTATATTGTAAATAATAGTTTTATTTGTTACCTTTCTCCTTGCTGTGTCATATCAAAAGCAGCTTGAGGAAGGAAGGGCTTGGTTTTGGCTCACTGTTTGAAGGTATAGTCCCTCCTGCTGGGGAAAGTGGTGGCCAGAGCCTGAGCTAGCCATCCTTGTGTGTCCTCAGTGAGGAAGGAGAGAGAAGGGATTGCTCAGGTTGTTCAGTTTCCCTTTTTCTTCATTGTGGGACCCCACTAGTGAGATGATGCTATCCACATTCAAGGTGTGTTTTTTCTGTTCAGTTAAAACTCCATGAAAATGCCCGCACAGTCATGCCAAAGATGTCTTCAAAGGGTTTTGGAATTCTGTCAGGCTAACAGTGAAGATTAGTCACCATAATAGTTGTTAGCATTGTTTTCTCCCTTTGTAACAACTGGGTCACCCGACTGGCTCCCACACGGTTCTGACCCTCAGCCAGTTTGTGATTCACACCAGAAGGAAAGTACCTGTTGGTCATTTTACTCCACTCCCACTGGAAGTCCCATATTGTCTTCAGATAAAGACCAAATTCTTCTGGTTTTGTCTTCTTCTTCTTCTTCTTCTTCTTCTTCTTCTTCTTCTTCTTCTTCTTCTTCTTCTTCTTCTTCTTCTCCTTCTCCTTCTCCTTCTCCTTCTTCTCCTTCTCCTTCTCCTCTTTCTTATTTTTATTTTTTATTCATAGTCTCACTGTGTAGCACTGGCTATCCTAGAACTCCCAATATAGACCAGGCTGGCCTCAAACTCAGAGATCCACCTGCGTCTGCCTCTGGAGTGCTGGGATTAAAGGCGTGCACCACTATGCTCAGTCCAAGGCCAAACTTCTTAACATGGCCTAAAGCCCCCTAGAAAAGTCTAGCCTCAGCTTGTTTCCCCTAGGCAACCGCTAATCCAGTTGACTCTTATCTTTCAGCCTCGGCCATAATAGCCTATGTCAGCCTCTCCTCCCTCCCCGTGTATCCCCTTCTTTCCCTGGCACTCACTAGTTCACGCTCCTAGTTAATATGACCTAATGCTACAGATGGCACCTCAGCTACCACCTCTGTGGGAAGGCCTCTCAAACTAACCTTCTCATGAGCACTTGTGTCTCCAGGCCTCAGTTATCTCCAGTGCCTATCACCTATAGAAGTGATTTCTTAAATTTGTTTGTCTTCTCTATTAGACTCTGTGCTCTATATAGTAAAGGCCATGTCTTCACTCCCAGTACACCTGCGAGTACACACACATGCACTCCAGCTAACTTTGGAATTTATAGTGCCCCACATAGAGTCTGTGTACATTCAGTAGCTGAAAAGCCTCTCTGGTGACAAGATGACAGTGTCTGTGAGTTGAGTCACAGTTAGAAGCATTTTGATTGCATGGCCTTGAGTTAATTTCCACCAATTTCCTAAGCACTTGAAAATGGGGGGAGGGGGTTGCTGTTGCTTTGCGTTTTTAAGAAAGAAGGAAAACAAAGGTGGGTGGTTAGAAAATGGGGAGAAGCTGGGAAAACTTGGAAGAAGAAAAAGAACATTATCCAAACATGTTTTTATGCAATTCTCAAAGAATAAACAAAAACATTATTTAAAATTAAAATGATTCTAGAATGCAATTTAAGGCCACTTTTAGCAGAAAGGATGTACCCTGTGTTTTATTCAGCATTAATAGATTCAGCATTAATAAATTTCCAATTTCTAAGCTAGCTATCGAAAACAGCAAAGTTTGGGAAGAAACAAGAAATTAGGGAAATGATTTATAATGTATGAGCTATTAGAGACAATTTTAATAGTACCATGTGCTGTATCATTGGCAGGGGTACTGTTCTCTCTGGGCCTTTTACATTATTTCTTCAGGGCATTTCTGTAAATTCAGTGCTTGTAACCTCAGCTTCAGGGAAGTATCTTATACTCACTTCTATTTGATTGTGCTTGCCTGGGAAATTGCCTATTCTTTTGGTAAAATACTGGATGATGGGGTATATCTCCTTAGGAGGCAACTGTAGTAAAACTCCTTCCAGCTGCGTGATCTGGTCCCTCCCATCACTCTTCAACAGCAAACAAATGAGCAGTACCAAACCCTACAACCGGATGGAGAACCAAGTGCAAGTTCCCCCACTGTTAGTCAATAATTCTCTCTCTGTGTGTGTGTGTGTGTGTGTGTGTGTGTGTGTGTGTGTGTGTGTGTAAGCACACATACATATATACATACATATATAGGTAGTTTTACACAAATGTAAAAGTTTAGCTTATACACATATACAGAGATCGCCCCCTGAGTCAATAATATTTCACACATAGTTCTTCAAATAGCATTTCTCTTTTTGAAACTCTCTTCAGATATGTGAAGATTGACCTCATTTTCAAAACTTGTACACAGGAACCCACAGTCTGAATTCACTCTTCACCATTCATTCCCTTTTCTCCCTGATAGCAGTCCTTCACCTGACCTTTGCTTTCTTCTAAGTGATGTGGCAAGGACCATGTTTCTGTGTGTGTTCAGCTCTCTGGGCACAGATGGTTGGAGTAGAATAGATGGGCTGAACGTGCTATCATGTTTTAACACAGGCTGCCTCCTGCCAAGTGACTCTCCCAGGGGAAGTCAGCGGCTGATACTCTCACTACATCACAGTATGGGTTTTGATGCATTTTCCTTGTAACAAATAAATATACTTATTTAAAAATTGAGATTTTTGTGGTGGGGGTTGGCTTTAGGTATTTTGTTTTTTGTTTGTTTGTTTTTTTGAGACAGGGTTTCTCTCTGTAGCCTTAGCTATCCTGGAACTCACTCTGTACCATGCTGTCTTCAAACTCACAGAGATTTGCCAGCTGCTGGGATTAAAGGTATTTGCCACATCTCCTGGCTAAAATTGAGAATTTGCCCCCCACAAAAGAATCTTTTAAATCACATTTCTCCCCCTTCTATCAACTAAACATATATGTTCCTGAATGTCTTCTTCCTCCCTTTTTGGATTGTTAGCTTTTTGTGTTGGTACTGTTTTCTTGTGTTTGTTAATTTCTTAAACTTTCTATGTGTGTATGTATATGAGTGGCAGGAGGGAGGGAGTATGTGTGCCCTGATACACACTTTCCAGAGCTGGTTTTTTCCTCCTATGATGTAGGTTCTGGGTACTGAACTCATGTCATCAGGCTTGGCAGCATGTGCTTCTACCTGCTGAGCCATCTTGCTGGCCTGTTCTGTTTTTGTTTTTGAGATAGACTTTAATGCAACCCAGACTGGCCTAGAACTCACTATGTAGCAGAAGATGACCTTGAACTCCTGGCTGTGTTGCAGCTGCCTTTCAAATGCTGACATCACTGCTTTGTATCATCATGCTTGTCTGACCTGTCGGTTTGATTGTGAGGATCTCAATACATCTGGATAAATAAGTCTCTGTGATCAACATGTATTGCAAATGTTTCCTCTCTGTGTCAAGTTTTTCATTTTTGGTCCATTTCTGATAGCTTTAATGGCATAAAGCATTCCTTCCAAGTTCAACCTACCTTATAAAGAAGAAACTTCTTCATTTATGAATTATTAGGATTTATCTTTCCCCAAACCTTAGCATTCTAGTAATTTTACAGACATGTTCAGTCAAGAGAATATCAGCAAAGGTTTATAAAGGAAAAAA